AAAAAACTCACCTTAGAAAGCCGCTAGAAAGGGAGCTGAACAGCTTCGAAGTGGGCGTGGTTAACAATCGGCTGCAATCCCCTCAGCCGATTCATTTTCCAAGGTAAGTTTTTGTTCAGTCACACTTTTTATGTTCTTGACTAGGGCTAGCGCATCGTTCCACACCATTAGTGTCGAAGGTAAAAACCCTGCTGGGACTGTTGCTTTAAGCTGGCCACGCGGTTTTCTTGCGTATGCTGAACCAATAAATATAATACAATATTTATTGCACGGTTAACTAAGAGGCGTTCCGCTCTTGCTTACCCCCTCGGGTATTGATCCAATCTTAGGTCCGAGGATTCCTGTCAAGGTCCGATCTTGAGGAAAGTAGCGACAGGGCGTAATCCGGTCTTATGTCTTGCTCGGGACCGCAGGAGACTGAACTGCCGTGTTCTGGTCGGGGGGCTTTTATGCAGGCGGAGACGTCGGCAAGCGGATAGTATGTAAGCATAGCCTAAAGATGAATATGATAAGACGTTTGAACGCAGAAAAATGTAAACATAAGAAACTGATCAGCTAGAAGATAAGAAAAACTGAAGGAAAAACTTCTAACCATATACAAAGTTTATTTAATCTCTTGTTGCAGTTTGCAACGGTCATAGTCATTAAACTATTGGAGAATGCTTGGAGGAAAGCACCGAGGAATCCCGAGGTGTAGCCCGGCGCTGCTAAAATGACGAATGCCGTGGTTTTGGTGTTCATACGTCTTAACGCATTGCGGCCCGTGTGCATTGCTGTGCACACGGGCTGCAATGCATTAAAACGGTTTCTATATCATAGCAATCTCAACAAGTGCTTCAATGATAACGATCACCTCTTTAACAGGTCGATAGCAGGTATGGTCCAGGTGAGAGAAGAGATTTCACGCCTAATTTTCGGTTTCTTACCTCTCCAGCCGATTGCAACATTTTCCTTCTAGGAAATATTCAAAGAAATGCACGATTCCGCACTTACCGGCCCTCCTTGACCAATCTCAAAGATATGCCTTCATGGCTTCTATTCACTGTTCACAGTTTTGACGTCGTGTGTTTCACAAAGTTGTTATTCCTATTTTCTATCGTCCTTCCTCGATATACATTGTTGCACAAAAAATAATTAATAGGATGCGTAGAAATTCTTCTCATTTTTTATGGTAAATCGAAAACTGAAACTTCCAAAAATACACAGGAATTTATCTAACGATATCCATTCCATTTATTGAATGACAGCTCTACCTTCTTTGAACGTTTATTACCGCGCTCTCCACGTTCCTGCCTCAAAACCGAAGAAAACTCTTTGAGGTGCTGTTCGCAGGCATCCGGAGAACTGAACGAATTCTCTCTCTTTCAGTAGATTCTAACAAGACCAGAAGACAGTCTGATGTTGCCAGTCCGGACTGCAAAGTGGATGGGTGAGACATCCACAAAGTTACAATAAGTTCACCGAGTGGCCAAAGCTACCTGTGTCCGGCATCATCTTGTTGGAAGATGTCGTGACTTCCGTACGACTCCATCTAAAGGGTCGCGCCTGGTCGGGTGTGCGCGGGTCCTGGCGCGCCCGCGCTGTCGAAGTCTCTCGAAGAACGTCAGGGACGCAGAGTGCACGCGCCCTCGCCTGTCTTCAGTCTACGTAGCTGCCGCCGTCGAGTGTAGCCGCTGGTCGTTGCTGTCTGTTCCGTTGTCGCCACTTCGTGCTCCAGTGTTCGTACGTCAGCAAGTGGATCCGGGCATGGACGCCCGTCGATGGACATCGGAGCCGAGCCACGTCTCCCCCGCGTAAGGATGACTACTGGGTTCGACCCGTGAGTTTAGGTTGAGTGGCCGTATCATATTGTAGTTTCTCTTCAACGTAGTTTCAAATTACATGAATCTATGGTTTTATCTTTGTTGTGTGCGTAGCACAAGCGGTTCGTCCGCGTAGGGTCGTAGGTCCGTGTTTGCATGCATGTTACTCGGTAATCTCCTAGGCTTGTGTACGACCGCTTTCAGGATAAATTGCTTCTCAAAGGCACAGAGAATTACTCGAAACACTGCTTGTTATGTGAAGTGGCATTTACTGACTACGGTCATGACGAAGGTGAGCGAAGACGAAGCTAAGATGAGGAAACATCACGAAACTCGTGATGGCTGACAGTTTTTCGTCGAACGAAGCATCGTGTTGCAACAGATTCCGTAATCGAAGAGCTCCACATTTTTTAAACTCTACTGAATTGCGTTCGCAATCAGAGGAGAAACCTTTTCTTTCTATGTTTATTCATCTTAGTAGGACATGGATTATACTTGGAGTTAAAAGAAAACATGTAAACCTCTGCAAAGTTCTCAGTAGGATAAGTGGGTTAGAGCGCCTCGTTCAAAAATATGCGAACCCTAGAGAGAAATGTGAGCAAATGAAATAACTCGAGCAGAGCTTGTGTGCTTTGAAGTTAAGGCCGATGTCATAGTTTGCGAATCGAGCGATTCGCTAGCGAATCGCTGGATCCGAGCGTTGCGCCAGCGAATCGAACGTTGCACCAGCGAATCGAACTTTGCGCCAGCGAGTCGAACGATGTACCAGCGAGTCGAACTAGGTACCAGCGACTCAATAGTGGCGGGACCCAACGTTTAAAGGAAGCCGCCACTTTCAAACAGTGTCACGTGACAGTGGACGCTGTTTGAAAGTGGCGGACTTTGCAGTGGACACTGTTTGAAAGTGGCGGGCTTCCTTTGAACGTTGGGTCCCGCCACTATTGAGTCGCTGGTACCTAGTTCGACTCGCTGGTACATCGTTCGACTCGCTGGCGCAAAGTTTCGATTCGCTGGTGCAACGTTCGATTCGCTGGCGCAACGCTCGGATCCAGCGATTCGCTAGCGAATCGCTCGATTCGCAAACTATGACATCGGCCTAAACACTCGCCGGTACCATCATCTACGGTATCTCCAAGTTAGTTTACATAGCATAGAAGAAAACATTTGAAAATACAAAAAAAACTTACATTGATCAAATTTTCAAATGAGGAGCTATACACGGGGAGCTTGCAGCTCGAATGCTTTGACTCAACTAATTGCTCAATTTTCGCGTGATGCCGAGTCGAGTTTCAGAAGTACCTTGTCGAAGATTTCCAGGCGGGAAAGCACAAGGAAGCAAGAAGGATGTGCGTTATGTTAGCAGGCAGCGGCGCTCATATTGTCAGCCTGCCCAAGAAAAGCGGGTGGATGAAATGAGGTGAAGATGGCGGAGCAGTGACAGACTTTTGCCGCTTTGTCCCTAGATCTGTGTTCTTGCTGCAGGCATTAGCCGAATCGACCAAAAATTGGGGATGGTCCAGAAACCGTGTTTTTTGGAAAACTCGTTTACGCTGAGTTGAGTACCCAAATCGAGATTGTTTCTGCAGCGTAATCTTCTATGCCTACTTAACCATTTAGGACCATCAAACTGGACGCAGACCATGAATCAAATATGAGTGGTCTTTTACGTTTAGCCCAAAGTCACAAACGTCGGCTTTGGATAAATCCAATGAGGAACAGCCCAAGATAGACCATGAAAAGTGACGTAGGCTCACGTGGCCAACTACTATGACGGGATTTTTGAGATGTGCCTCTTAGGCGGCTATTAATGATCACATTGACAATTTAATAGCAATACACAACTACAAGAATGACATCGTCACCTATGTTGATGCCAGACCCCACGTAGCTCAAAATTGCACAGGGGATTTTGACCAAGAGAATATTAAACCCTGGGTCGTGAGTCGCCCGGGCCAACCAAGCCTTCCATCCCTCCGGGGTCGGTTAATTGGTACCAGACTTGTCTGGGAGGATAAAAACACTGACTTGTACATCGGCTGGCCCCGCAAGTCATTGTATAGGCCACATCGCATTCAAACGCCACTACGAATGTACAAATGGAAGTAGAATGCGTGCCGCATCCCAAAAAGGGATTGATCAACGGCAAATGCTTTATCCTTTATCCTTTATTTACCCAACTGCAGCCGTGCAACTTCAGCTGTTTTACGAACTCCGGCACGACTCGTTGGCAAGCGCTACGACAATTCGTTGATCATCTATACTGACATCAAAAGCATCTTGTCTATACTTGTTGAAATAAAGAAGCTGCGCGGTGTCCAGTGTTTTCTAGACGCTGGGATAGGGTTATCGATAACAGCAGGATCTACTTGACCTAACAGTGAAATATCAATTTTTATCTTTTTCATAAGATCATTTTATTTTGTCTGAATAGAACCTTCCACATGCTTGAATGAAATGACTTATTATATGCGTCCATAATATTTCTGACATAGTTGGCTCGTGCACATTTTGATCCTGTTCTTTGTGCGCGGGTTCCATACGTTGGCCTTGGAGTCCTTACTTCGGTGGTTTTCACTAAAGTTATTGACTTTGTATATCACTAAAGCTCGGTTTGTAAAACCCAAGTCGCTCTTTGTTTTTCGATCTTAATATTATTATATGAACTTTTCTTCGAAATTTATTTAAGGGGGTGTTGTTCCTTTCAAGTTGTCGTTGACGAGTGGTCAGCGCATTCGCAAACGTTGAGTATCGCAATCGCCTGTTCTTTGTTTTCAGAAAAATGCAGTTATTGGCTCTTTTTAGAATGGCTCAGTACCTCGTGTCCAATACATTATCAGGTGTTCTACGTTCTTATACCAACTATCAGCATAATAGGGAATTTTTGCATCGTGTACGTGACTATCCGTTCTAAGTAAGCCACCCTTCAAGTGATGGTCACAATTTTTAGCGTTATTACATGACGCTATGAGCATTACCAACACATAAATGTTTATCCTGACTGAGTTGATTTGAAGGTCTCTTCGAAGTCCGTGTGAAATATTCATTGTTTTGATCTCTTTCGGTGAGATATTGCACATGTTTGCACACTATATCATGGTCGTTTCTTACAACTTAGTGAGTTTCTCGAAGCGTATTCTATATTTTGGGAAGTAATAGCACCTTTTGCGCTATCTCACGCAGGGTACAGAGATAATAAGCAAATGAATCTATGTACTCCGGCAAAGCGCCATGAGTCATTGACTTCAACGATGTGCATCCTTCTCAAAAGTGTTGCTACCTTGCCCATCTCTGGACAGCCTGAGAAGCGGAGCGAAACAGCCTCCCGGACAGCATCATTTTATCTGCAAGTTTGAAATGATCCATTAGTTTACCTCTGTCGAACTTCAGAAAAGTAACCATCGTGCAAAGCACGTTGGCTGTAGACGACGGGTGTTTGAATTTGAAGCTTGTACATTAGAGCAGATCTCAGTTTTACTGAGCTTTGAATGTGTGTTATTTGAGAGTGAATGGAAAGGTAAACCTAATGGTAGTAGTTTTCGTTAGTTCGAAATAGGACTCAGCAAAACTGGTTCGATCTGCTTGATGAGGGATGTTGAGAAAACAGCTTTGGTGTTGGATCCTTGATCACTAGTGGATATCCCTCATCGGAACGAGAAAATCGTTTACTCCACAGTGGTTTCTAGCTGACACTGGCTAAGCTATTTGAGAAATTTGTACAACTTTAATCTCCAAATTTTTCAGCTTCGAAGACCATCAAATAAGAGAAGATTTTTGCACTTACTGGCAGATATTTCCACTACTGGGCTTATTCTTTTCATCGATGCTACTTCTTAATGTCGCAGTGGACCGCGTGTTATCTACACGGAAATTCTAGTAAGATTCAAGTGAACATACTATGTCTATAGTGTAGAAGGAAATCAAAAAGTTGAAAACCTGCATGGCTCGAGTGAATCGCTCGAGAAAGGGCACTCTAATCATGAGGAGCGTCTTGGGTTGAGACCACTTCAAAGGAAGCCTTTCATATCTAGTGAAGACTTATGGAAAACGCCGACTCAAAAGTGTATCCTTTGCTACTTGATTAAAAAAAGGAGCGGGGGACTTTTCAACGAGTGTATATAGGTGTTTCCAGAAATACCACATTGAGAAAGAGAAATTCTCTTGGATGTAGATGATACAAAACGTTTATCGCCTTCTGTGCAAACAAATGGAGCTGCTCAGCGTTGCAGCTCCAAACAATAAGCAAAGAAAACGTCCAAAGTTGGAGGAGTGGCTTGGCTTGCATCAAGGCTGGATCATGACTAAGACAACCAAATCAATAGGAGGAAAAAGTGATTGCAGACACTGCAGAGCTCGCGCCTTTTGAGAAGTTATACTGGTTTTGATCTAGGCGATCCATCCCCTGTAAGTTCGCTCAGGAGGGAGTGAGGGCTCATGCGGGAATCAATGGGATATTGGATGAGAAGGGTCAGGTGTGCAGCCAACCTCTAGAAACCTTTAAAGTAGTTTGTTCAAAATCAACTCTCCAAAAGTGCCTTAAACAAGTGGGACGAGTCCCAACCAGGGTCAAAAAACGAGGGATCGTAAAATCAAGTACCATTTACAAACACGGACGCTGCCAAGGTGTGGCTTATTGGCAATGGATGGGCCTTCAACTACCATTTCGACCATGCGCCACACATGCAACGAATGGCGCATTCCAAAGCGAGCTTTCTTACTGAAATACGTAATGTTTCGGTTAGCACGAGTGGGAAATTCTTTCAGATAACGACCAATTCATGATTGAGAAAAGGGTAGCAAATTCGGCAGACTTACCTCTAGAATCCTATCATGTTGCCATCAAGAACTTATCTTGTAAATTCATTGGGATTGACAGCTCTCCAATCAACCAACTTTGAAGAAACTTATGGCCATTTGAAGGTTGAAAACTCGCGTTTCAAGAGAATGGCCTAAAAAGCCATTGAGGGAAAAAACGGAACAACGGGACGATTTTCGAAGAGTGGTCATTCAGAGAACCTTGAAATTTTTTTTGAAATTATGAAAGCGTAGCTCACGCGTTCTCAAAAATTGGACCACATACCCATGAAAAAATGAAATAAGGGGACTATTTTTGAAGAAAGTTATCGTAGGAAATTTTGGAAACGTTCGACATTATAAACTGGTACTTTTCTGAAAGCGCTAATCTTCTAGTTTCTAATTAGCTTTGAAAATCTGCAAAAAGTTGATTATGAAGAAAGTTATGAATGTTTGAATGTCGAAAACTCGCGTGTGCACAAAAAACGGAACAACGGGACGATTTTTTGAAATATTGAACATTGCAACATTTCAAAACTTTCAGGAAGAAACAATTTGAAGTTTTGAAATTTTTGTATCCCATTCCATGAGACCGCTTCTGAAGAAAGATATAACCTTTTGAATGAAGGGGTTTGTATTGTAACGTAATTGCTGCAAGGTTTAGTTATTCAGTTTATAAAAAAGGAGATTTGAGAGTTCGAAAAAATCTTGGTAGGTTTCTGAAAGTAGAAATCTCTGCGATTACTATGATGTATTGGTTTACGCAAAAATTTGGAAATTGCCTTCTATTTAATGAATAAAACTTCATGTTGCCTCGATTCCTTCTTCTGACAACGAGGGAAAGAAAGCGCGCGGACTCACCGCTGTCCACGTCGCTGACGGTCCATGCACCGATGATGGGCCTAAAATATGTAAAAAGACACAGCGGCTAGTACATGGGTCGTACTGATACCCTCTGAAAAAGGAGGAGTCGTGAAAATTTTGAAATCTACGCAACGCACGGTTGACCCTGGTCCCATCCTACTCAAACCACATTGCTATCTGCTCGGAATGGTGGGCGGACCTTCGCGATTGGCTTTTGCGAAAGCTGGTCTTCTTTAGGCTCGTGACTTGGGTAAGTAAACCACACCCTGTTGAGTAATCTCTGCTTAGTGAAGTGAAGTTTTGAAGTACGCTCCTTCCACGGCCGCTCATACTTTTCGGCGACAGCTTTTTCTCTTATCATGGAAGCATTCATACTTGAATCGGAGTCTGGACGGGTGGTTTTTTGAGAGGATTCCGTCGCTTCAGACTACGCAGAAGCGTCTGCTTAAAAAAAGGCTGACATTTTTTTCCGCTGACTTTCTGCACTACCTTAACGAACTCAGGAATAAGCGCTATAGCAATACAAGCGCTTGTTAATGTTTGCTCTCAGGGTTTTCAAAGGTCCGAAACTAACCTGAGTGAAAAAAGGCTTAAAAAAAGCTCGAGTTCTGTTTTGCCAATGCACTTATTAGACGCAATTTGATCACGATTTGCAGGTTCCGGATTTTTTTCATGATCTGTTTCTTTGCCCTGCAAAATTTTCGGTATTGCACAAAAGCGTGAATACACAATGCTGTTTGCAGAATTAATCTAGTGCAAATGCTCCGTATCTTTATGTAATTTTTTCAGCAAATACATTATTGAAAAGTACTACGTTCCCTATACGACCACTCATATCTTCTCGGCGACACTTTTTACTCTTGTTATGGGAGCATTCGCATTTGACAATCGAACGGCAGACTTGTAAGTTGAGTAGTCTTACTCAGTTTCTAACTTACGAAATCCTATGGGTGTCCTTGTAAACATGCAACTCAGTCATGCTAGGAGCAATGTATGAAACTTCTGCTGATTGGGCTATTTGTCAACATCTTTGAAGGTTGCCATTCGTTGCGGGACCCGCTGTCTCCACCCACAGCGAATCCCTGGAAATCCTAGGCGTTTAAATTCATTGCCAGCTACAGTTTCCTCAGTGCGGAGCAGGAAATTTGTGAGCCAGGTGGAATGTAGCCAATTTAGGGGGTCGGGGTGAGGGCAATCACTTGACATGCGATTGCTTCGATGCTCTTCCTTGGCTTGGCGAATGGATTTTTGGCTTGAAGAAAATCAGCAATTGTTTGAGGCAAACAAAGTTTCATCAATCTCTCCAAAAAGTCTATTTTGGCACACCCACTGTGCTGATGCTTTCCTGCAATGGGTACATTTTCTCGACATCAGAAGGTAGCCTGTTCGCCAACGTGTAAAATAAGAGCGGGGAATACACAGTCTTCGGTTTTTGCAAATGATTATTGAATGGTTTCGTATATCTATGTACTCAACGAATTTTCGTGGTTGGGTGGTTCCTACATACTATATCTTCATTGTCAGGTAGCCTATGCAGAAGACAGAATAAATTGAAGAAGCAAGGTTGCGCACCAACTAAGAGGTAATAATCATGTACACAATGTGAGTTGCTCAGAGAGCACGCAGTTAAAGACACCACAATCTTTCCATAAGTTTTCAACCAATTGTTTTTTTTTGATTGAAATTAAAAATTCGAATTCAGGATGGTCACGTGCATAATTACAATGGCCATTCGAGGAGTCGCACGTTTACTTTTTCTGGTTGCTTTACCTACAATCTATATGCTGATGATGATCTGCTATGTTCTGCTGATGTGTTTGATTAGAAAAATTCAACTGAGTGAGCCGACAAAGTTAGAACAGAAATTTGTCTAGGGAGCTGATATAGCGCTCAGCTTGTTTCAGCATACGAGTAGTGTTACAGCGCCTGTAGGATCACTTCATGGCTGCTTCATGATCAGCCTCTGCTGTGCTCTTCCAATTTAATCGGGCAAATTTTTCAAATCAGATTACATAGTTGCAATTTTCTATTCAGGCCACATTTCGGTTTTCTCCACACCTCACGAGAAACCAATTTCAAATCAAGAATTGAGCAAATGTTTTTACAAAGCCCCACGTCAGAAATTGATATCAGCCCTTGAATGTCATTATTCTAGTCTAACTTCTACATTATCAGATCTACCATCACCAAACTCATTTTTAGCTAATGTGCACTGTACCTCCATCCATCGACGTCGAGATCTGATTTGTTTGTTAGATCTTAAAATTCCTGGAACAGTTTCGACATGCGCTGTAATATGTCAGGACCACGCAAACTCTGAAAAGCATTCCTTCCGCTCCTCAAAGACTTGCACATTTTAGAGTGGTGATTGGAAAAGCAGAGTCTGTGGTATACATAAGTATTGGAGCGATCGTCTGGTATAACAAACTTGTATCAGCGAACATGTCTGTACCCATCCTATTGCGCTCCTACTCTCCAAAATTCTTCCTTCTCCAACAATATTTGGAAAAAATTGCTAACATGTTCCCAAATGTGGATTGAACGACACACTTTTACTATCAGATGATTTTACTGAGCTCCCGCACAAAGACATCAGGTTTTCTGGTCGACTTTGAGAGAACATATATTTGTGTCATGACCTTCCGTCATGATACTACTAATGTCTCGGTGGTGGAGCCCTGTGCCACGTCATCGAATCGATTAGCCTCAAAACCTGCTCACGTTGCCGCCTGCCAGATTGCCAATCCTTTATAATCCAACCATTCCAGCTAATGGCTCATCAGCTCTGGTATAAATATCGTCTATTTCGGGGGGGGGGGGGGGGGGAAAGGGGAGGGGGTACACTACCGCGTCTGAGCCTTCGAGCGATTTCTTCGCTCAGCGGTATCCGGGAACTTTCTCTTTTCAGCGAGCAGCTTTGGGGGCGCTCCGTAAACTAAGCGATCCTTGACAGCAGCGTCACCAGACAAACTATTCCGGTCGCCATGAAAATGACCTAAGAGGAAGTCAAATCCCGGAATCAGCCCGACTCGTAGCAAGGATGCCGCGAGGGGAGTTGTGGGGTTCGTACCTTAATAAACGCCAGCTCCGTTACGCGATTAGGGCGCTAATCCATTGTAAACCTGCAACCATCGACCCTCGCTGCAACGCTTCCCACCCACCGCTGTCGATATAGAGATCAGCGAGCTCTCTGAACAGCGTGTTCTCTCGATTGTTTTGCCTTCCTTGATCGCCCCACTTTGTCATCGTATCACATCCAAAGCTAGTGTAAACCAAGGCCTGCTTCTGGTGTTTCATAGGATTTCTCTTGCTTTCCTTCACACTATCAGTTCACTCGGCAGCCCAGCCATCACTACGCAGCGCTCTTATTTACTAGGGGTCTCTATCCCGGGGTTTGCTTTTACACAAGATAAGGTAAAGCAAGCGTTCTGCCTCTGCCGTCAAAACGAGTAGAATACCTGTCATAACGACGTTGTCTGAAGAGCAAAAGGGTACCACTCATGCGGGCACGATCCCTAGAGAGCTCAGGAGTGGCTCGATCGTCGCGATGCGATGCCGACCTGACATGTTTGGAAATCTTAGCCGTTACCCGAACAAATTGGAGCCGCTTGAATAAATACAATTAACGGAACGACAGATTGTATTGTGCAGATGATACAGGTTGAGGGGAGATCGGCACATCTGTGAAATAGGGTACGATTGCAAAGTGCATAGTACCATGTCTCTCCGCACTGAAATGTAGCTTTGCAATGGTGCTTAGCCTTCTCGGAATTCTGCTACTTGAATGAATCTCTTCTATATGGAGGCATATAGTTAGATGTATTCCTACTTTTAAAAACTTTCATGTTGAGGACTGGGTAATTTACATGTTACAGTGTCAAAGTATGCACATTATACTAATCTACTTATGACGACATGAAGACAGAATACTGGAATCTTAATGAGTGTTGTATGTTTCGACCTTTTAGGGACCCAAACTTAGCATCACGTTACGAAAAGTGCGAATTTAGAACTAGACGACGGATCTCCTACAGGTCTTCGCTTGTTTAGCATTAAAGTTAGACATCAATTTCGAATTTGCAACTTTTTAGATCATGACAGCACGAGACAGATCCACCGTTCACTCCTCGTTATCAGTTCAACAATGGTGTTTGGTTGGGTTAGCGCAATGATATTGCAGATGGTTACCAAAATTCCAGGTCTCCACTTTGAAAGGCTACACGTTGATTTGCTTGCAGGTATTTTTGTGACCTCCGCAAGCGCTTCAAACTTCTTCGTCTATTACACTATCAGGTGAGTGGTCACCTATCAGTAGTAAGAAGCAACACTTATTAAAGTGAAGCCTCGAGATAAAATAGGTGTGGAAGAGCGTCCGCTAATGAAGCTAGAGGTGGGGAGTGGTCCGGAAAAATAACAAGAAAATAAGAGAAATCCTTGATTACTCCCTAAATAACTTCTATTCTCATTGCAGTCACCTTGTGAGAAACAAAAGGCGTGTTGAACGAGTTTTGCGAGCTTAGCTCCAGTCGCTCCAGTGACGAAGGTATTGAACCGCAGCAACCATTCCCGCATCCGTGCCTACGGTTTTCAAGTAGCGTCACGTCAGCAGAGAGTGGAGCTTGCGGACAAAGGTGTACATTGCGCGTCAAAGCGAGCTACCAGAGCCTTTGGCGCACACTTTCAAACCGCAAAACGGCCGCGACATAAAGGCTTGTCCGCCTGCCTATCGCGCATGTATGGAACAAGTGAGCGTGCATAATATCGAAGCGTGCCTTCAACTTTGTGTTTCACCCTGTGCAAATCTTGTGTAGAACACAAGTAAATGAACGCGCTTGAACACAGCATAGAGGCACAAACATCGTGAAAGAAGCTCAAACCCAGCAAAAAAATCGGAATCCACTCACTATTTTTTTCTTGAAACATTTTTCCGTGATCGCTAGCGGATGGCAATTACTTCATCAAGATTGCTACTTTCCCTTTGCTAGTTATTGCTGGTAATATCAGTTATTTGTACTAATCGTGACATTTTCAGTAAAAAGTACCGCAACCTCTTCGATAAGTACCTCTTCATTCGACGTTTCAAAAAAGGGTTCACCCTCAGTTGTGCTCCAAACGCTACTGTTGATGTGCTGATTCTAGCTAACCGGATCAAAGAAAATCCACAGGTGTAAACCAAGGAATTTCCCGTTCCTTTTGGATGTTTGATGAATGAGTGACAAATCACTCGTATTTGCTATTTAGCATAGATCACTTTTACCTCAGCATACTACCATTTAGCCCCTTGATTGATTCTGTTTCAATTGCTCCATTTCTGATCACATATGTACTGTGTGTTTCCTTATAGCTTTTCCTAGTAATTGTTGATCGAAAAGTGTCAGTGTTATATGAAAATGAAAGAATTGATTACTGATAAGTGTTCTGTATATTCGAAGTGCCTTATGGCAACTGTGATCACTGTACTGATTACTCATTAGATCGCTTGGAACGTTTGCCTCTAATTGGAGCTGAGCTACAAAATATCATTACCGCTATGATTCCTGTCGCTGTGCTTCCTCTTTTCATGAAATTCTCCCTTGGAAAATAGAAGAAGCATGAATCCACTGGCATCCGTGTACAACTTTCGATGAATCTCTGTTGTTTATATGGGCGCAAACGCCTGGACAGCTACAATCAAGATGTTACAGTCACTTAGCTGGGCTAAAGTTTCGGCCTTGTCGCCTTCATCAGAGCCTGGACAGCCACAAATAAGTCCGACCTAGCCTTCAAGCACCATTTCAAATTCCAAAACAATCCATCCTAAACTAAACGCGTCTACTCGAGTGGTCGCCCACCACTACCACTGGAAAACTACACGAGCCCTAGCAGGAATAGGAAGGATGAGTGCCTTAGCATCAGAATTGAACTTTTGACATTTTTCTGCCTATGAGGGCTTCGATCGCCAGCGCCTTCAGGTGAAGGGTAAAGTCATCTGAAGCTACCCACTGATGTCAAATTAGAGGTCTTAACATTAAAGGAATCTTCCACGGACCATGGACCAGTGGGCGGGACCGGAAGTGGTTTTGCGACGAAATGCATGGTAGGTACGGATCCACGTTCATGGGAAGGTTTGAAGTGAATCCTGTTCACGTTCGTGCGTTCGACACGTGGATCCGTACCTACCATGCATTTCGTCACAAAAACTTCCGGTCCCGCCCACTGGTCCATGGTCCGTGGAAGATTCCTTTAACCGATCGTACAACTCAAGGTAAGCGTTAACGGTTTACGACACCCCTCCAGATCCTATAGTGCAGGATGGACTGTTTTGCCAATAGACTGTTTTTAAATTTGACGTGTGCTTGAAGGCTATGTAGGTCGCACTCATCTTTGAATTTCCAGGCTCGGACGAAGGCGACAAGGTCAGAACGTTAGCTTAACAAAGCAAAAATAAAAATTTATGAAAAAGGAAGTGGGTAGCAAAGCTAGAGATGGCGTAAATAAATAGAATTCTTATATTTGAGTAGTGCAAAGTTACATGTTAGATCTTAAACCGCCTAGAATATACAGGGGTGGCCAAAAAAAAGAGACACTTCACTCCACATTTCAGACAGCATTAATCACACTTTGCTAGAATCAAATCGACTGCCCCAAACTCAGTATTAAAGAGCACATTCTAATCTATCTAAAAGTTACATGACAGCCTTCTACACCGACGACATCAGAAGATTTTCCCACGGAAACATGGTTCACGGTACGAGCTCAACGAGGTCGTCGAGGTACCATAGACCATTACGACGTCCCTGAAACGCTGGTCAAAAGCGGTTTTGCATAGTCACAGCTAATGTCTCTGGGAAGCTATTCAACAGTTAATCCATTGAAGAAATTATGTAGCAGCTTCAGGCCGGAGCGATTACGGTAAGCCTCGTTGAGCTCGACGGCGGAAGCAGTGAAGGAGGGCCTGCTTCTGTTTACGGGGGAACACCTAAGGAATATTCCGCCGTAAAACTTTCATTAACATCGGCTCCCTGTGCGACGAAAAGTTCGATGATGTGCGCCATGGGCAAAGTGTCTCTTTTTTTGGCCACCCCTGTATTACAGCATGTATGCAGTGTATACTAGGGTGGTTCTATTTCAACTCATTGACGCCGTGTGACCCGCTGGTGGGTCACAATTTTGCTCGGAAGAATTTCGTTCTGCTCAGAATTCCTTTCTTTGCCACAAAGGGCTACTTATACAAAGGGCTCGGGTCTGTAAAGCAATGTAATCATTAGAAAAGATGAAATTGTCGAAAATTTAACTACTAGTGATGGAAAAATACGGAGATGCCGCATTGCAGCCTTCAGAGTTGTGTGCAGGAATCAGGATTGAAAGGAAGTGGTCACGATAATTTCCATGGGACGATAAGGAAAGCTACGTATGGAGTGGATAGGGGTCCTGCCCAATGTTACAACACGTGTGTTTCAGTGGCAGTGGCGCCTTATCAACGGAGTGATAAGGCGCCGAAATCCACTTCCGTTCAGCAAAAACAAAGACTTATCGATGTGGAATGCGATAAGAGCGTGCTAGATATGATACCGTTATCGTTATCGTCCCGTTTTCATTCTGGAGTGCACCTCTTATCAAGCAGCCGCACCTTCTTATCTCATCGTATCATATCTTCCATGGGCTTACACTCGTCCAACAATTACCCCTCCCTTTCAAAAATTGAGAAGAGCGTTGAGTGCAGACCATACA